GAAGGGATTGATGGTTGATGTGTTTAAGAAGTCGCTTATTTTTGTTTTGTTCTATGATTTGATTTGTTTTAAAGAACAATACGCTTTATGATACTACAGGACATCCTGACTTCTTTTGAAAATAATATTACTGTCTCTGAGCATTTCAGCCTTTGGCCAAATGCTTTCTAAGCCGAGCAGAATGTGTGATGGGGGTAGCAGACACTCCTATCTCTATTTCTTTTAAATTAAGTTGGGGGTGCCTGGGTGGCTCAGTCGGTTAAGCGTCCGACTTCAGCTCAGGTCATGATCTCGCGGTCCGTGGGTTCGAGCCCCGCGTCAGGCTCTGTGCTGACGGCTCAGAGCCTGGAGCCTGTTTCAGATTCTGTGTCTCCCTCTTTCTCTGACCCTCCCCTGTTCATGCTCTCTTTGTGTCTCAAAAATAAATAAATGTTAAAAAAAAATTTTTTTTTTAATTAAGTTAAAAGCAGAGAGAACATAGTGTCTCCCTTTCCCATCATTGTTTGGACAGAATAAGCAGAGTAAGAAGTGAAGTTGGTAGCAACTTTCTCAGGCTAGAGAAGTCTCTGCCTCACTCAGAGGAGGGTGTGTTCTGCCCGGTGGATGGGGGACTGTGTTCAGTGTTCATGAGCTTGCACTCTGCAGCGATGGGTGTGTGACAGCCTGTCAGGATAAATGGGGGGGTCCTTCTGACTGTCCATTGGCATCTTATATTTTTCTAGCACTCTGTGTCATTAAACTGTGGTCCTGTTTCTTTCAAGCTGCTTATTTAAAAAGTGAAGCCAATGCAGCTGTGTCCCTAAGGTCAGAGAAGTGATGAGGCTCATTTTGCTGGCCTGTGGCCATCATGTATTGAACTGTTTCTCTGTGCCTGGTGTTTTAAGAACATTATTGCGGTGCTCACAAGAACTCTCCCAAGGTACATATGATTATCTCCATTTCCTGTATGAGGACACAGAGATGCAGGGATTCAGAGATTATGCTGTTATTCAGTGGATTTAGACCCAGGATTTAGACCCGGATCAGCCTGATTTGTTTAACTACCTGTGCTCCAAAGATAGGAAAATTTACACTCAAATCCCAACTCTCTGCACTTAATGACTAGATGACCCTTGTTAAGCAGCTTGACCTCTCTTGGCCTCAGTTATTTTGTCTGTTACAGGTTAATAATAATAATTATCTACTTTGTTGGCCTCTAATGAGACTTGAAAGGGGATACTTAATTGTCCTAATAGTGAGTGACTGACACAGAGTAAATACTCAATTATGTGCCAACTGCCATTATTATTATTACTGTTAATCATCGTCTGTTTTCCAGAGATCTCATTATATTTCAGTAATTTACAGAGAAAGTGGCCAAGGGACTAGTGGGATGTCAGAGAGGTAATTTCGCCTTCTACCAGGAAGGCTCACATGTTTAAGTTGAGTGACAGGTAATCAGAACTGACACTTGTGCTTCATTTTCCAATTAACAAAACACTTTTATGTGTAGTAGTTCATCCGGTACTCCTGGAAGCCAGAAAACGTCCCGCCTTTGGAGACGATCAGACTCCTTTTCAGACAGGGTCAGTAACCTGCCCAGGGTTCCACATACCGCAAGACTTAGAGCCAGAATATGATCTGCTTTTGACTCTGAAGTTCACGCATTTCCAGTGAACCAGAGCCAGCTGAAGTGGAGGAAGGAAACGGGACACAGAAGCCAGCTGCCCCCAGTGAGATGTTGTGGCAGGTGACGTGGGACTGTGACACGGAGCCCACCCAGCTCACAGCTGAGACACAGAGGGGAGGGGTCACCAGAGAGGGGACAGTTGACAGCACGTTGGCCATTGCTTACTCATGACTGTGTTACTAACATCAGGACCGTTTTGTCCTCCCTGCCACCTGTCCCCTGCATCCTGCTCCGGTTTCTCACCAAAAACCAGAAGTCAGCGCTAAAATAACTTTCTGCGAGGGGCTCAGCTCAACCTTCCAGACTAAATGTCGGCGGTTTTTTCTATAATTTTTTTTTTTTTTTTGCCTAAGATCTCATCTTTTTTAGAAAATAATTAGCAGATGAAGTAAACAAAAAAGAAAACCTAAAATCTCAGATTACTGGATTTATGTATATGACTTACTTACAAAAATTGGATCCTATTATAGATTAAAATGATTTCTCATTATATTGACTTTTCTGAGTCTTTGTTCATAATGTTCTGAAGAATCCAAGTGCAAAAAGCAGACTTTTTGGCGTGTTCCTTCAGCCTTAGAAGTAGTAGGGATTTGTCCCCCTTCCAGCTTGCTTTCACTGCTGATAAATAACTCTATCATTTCATTTTTATCAGTGCCATCTCAAACTAAAACGGTGTTCTCCCTCTTCTTAAAATGTGTGTGTTTTATAATATTCCCATGTGCTGTTCAAATCTGAGTTTGTTTTTTCAGTTTGTCCAGAAGAACTTTCTGCCATGATGGAAATGGTGATACTCTCTACTGTCTAACATGGTACCCACTGGCCACGTGTGGCTGCTGCACACTTGAAGTGTGGCTACTGAGACTTCAGGAACTGAATTTTGAATTTATTGAACTTTCATTAAATTAGCTGCTAGTGACTATCCCATTGCAAAACTCACTCTACAGCATTGTCATTTAAACTCGCCTTTAAAAAAAGATGGTAATTAAATTCCTTTCACGTTGAGTGAAAATGAGACACTTTTACAAACATATCTGTGACCAGTCTGTATCCTTCTGGGAAGGACATGACTCATGATAAACCCACGCAGCTCCAGGAAAGAAAGCTAACGTGCTGAGCACGTCCTAACTTTGCAGCGCTTTGTGGAAGGATTTCATATGTGTTATCTACCCACTGAATACAGGTAACACGAGCAGAAGTTAAGTGACTCACCAGGGTCCCACCCCAAGTAAATCCTCGAGCCGATTTTGGGCGCTAATCCTCTGACCCTAAGGCTCTTGCTTTTTCTGTTGTAGGGAGTTCTGACAGCATCCACCTTACACTGTGTTCTGCCTTCACACCCTTTCTCCAGAAATTATCTAAGTATCAGAGGTCAGAACTGGTTTTGCTGTGATTAACTTTGTAGCCGTACGAAGTTAATGCCTCCTTCACACACACTTTTTCCCGAATGTAGATGATGCTGGTTCAGGTTGATGTTCATGAATAGCCTTCTCTGGACAGAACATGGCCGGCTCCTCTAAAGCTAGCATTCGGCCTGGGCATAGCCAGTGCTGGAAATGCCATCCCCTGGACAGGCAAGACAAGGGAGGCAGCAGCTGAGCTGAGCCACAGTAGAAGTGGAGTGGGGAAGGGCATTTCAGCAGGGAAACAGCATATGCAAAGGCCGGGGGAGTTGCGGGAAAAAAAATGTAACATGGCTAGAGTTCATATTTTTTAAAGGAAAGTGGTAGGAGATAAAACCGACAAGGTGTTCAGGAGCCAGTATATAAATGTTATTCAGTTCTCTACCAAGAAGTTTAACTTTCATCCCGACAAGCAGTGGTGAACAGTCAAATGGCAGAAGAGGAGAATTTACATGTAGGTCTCCAGTTGCATGGTTAACCAGAACGCTCTCCTTTCTCCCATCCCTGTTGCCAAAGGCTTTCTGAAGATCGTATTTCCCTTCCTTATCTTAGTAAGGGTTCTCAGCTGAATATGTCAACCTTAAAATTTTTTGGAACATGTAGGATTTCGGTAATCGCTGTTGGAGGGCCAGTTCTGGTACCGATATATATACATCCCAAGATGTGCCCTAAAACTTCTTGGTTGTGCTTATTCTTAGTCACTCACTGAGCATCTGCTTGGTGTTGGGCCCACTGCGTTCCAGAGATGAGACAGTCCTCGTCCTCAAGGACCTCATTCTTTGGTGGGGAGACAGCAACAGATGAAGCGTAGGGAGAAATAACCTGCTGTGGGGCAGGGTTAGAGAAGCCTCCAAGAAGGGAAAGAAAATTCTAAACACTGAAACAAGTGGGGCTCCTCAGTGGAGGCGTCAGACAAGAAATCTCTTCACTTGGTAGTCATGAGCAAGGGTGTCAGAATCAGAACCTGGCCCCGAATCCCCGTTTGGCCACTTAACTAGTTGTGTGAGCAAGTCAGGGACTCAGCCTGTGCCTCCATTTGTCCTCTGAAATGGAGATGAGATTGAAGTGCTTGTGAACTCCTTGGGGTTGTTGTAGGGAGTTGTCGAAATAACACCCGAAATGCACGGCATGCTGAGCTCGTGAATGCGCGTAACATGTCAATGCTGATTATTATTCAGGGTGTGGTGGTGCCAGTCTGGTTGTGCCCAGGGCAGGATGCCATCAATCCAACTTCCTGGATTTCAAGCATGCACCCAGGGGTCTTTGGGGGAACTGAAAGATGTCCAGCTTTCCTGACATTTCCAAACATTTCCTTTGTTTCTAGAAAAGTCCCTCTTCTCCTTACAACATCTAATTCATCCTCATGATATTCCACTGGTTAATGTGTGTGTCTCTTTCGAATTCAAATCTGGCACAACCAGGAAGAATGGTTCTATGAATAGATGGGAATGCACACGAAATCACTGTGTTGGGACCACAGCTATAATTCACAAGGTCTATGTGATAGCTGCGAGCACATGTCAGATGGTGGCCATGACCTGTTTGTCGGTGCATCTTTGTAAAATACTGAAATTCATTTATAAGTGTTTTCTGTAGGGGCGCCTGGATGGCTCAGTTGGCTAAGCATCTGACTCTTGATTTTGGCTCAGGTCATGATCTCACGGTTCATGAGATCGAGCCCCACATCAGACTCTGCACGGACAGTACAAGCCTGCTTGGGAATCTGTCTCTCCCTCTCTCTCTGCCCCTCCCCAGCTTGTGCGCACGTGCTCTCTCTTTCTCCTTCTCTCTCTCAAAGAATAAATAAACTTTAAAAACAGTGTTTTGTGTAACTTATGTGGGCAGAGAGTAAACATATTTAGGTTTTTCAGGTGACCAGGGTTTATTTCTTTTTTCTACTTCTGGTAAATTTGTGGTGTTCTCCATCATAGTTTCTTTCAAGATGGCTTGAAAACGGCTGATAAATTGAAACAGTACATTGAAAAACTGGCTGCTGATTTATATAATGTAAGTATTTTATAAAATACATGCATTTTAAGTTGCTTTTGTAGCTAAACATCAGGAAATTTGAAATCTGTAGTAGAAGAACTTTAAAGAAGCAAGAGTAACTGATGTGTCTGTATAAGCCTAACAGTTTAACCACAAAGTTGTTAGTGGGCAGATATCCTAGAGTATGTTTTTAAGGCATAGGAAAAGCAGGGATATGTAACCAGTGGTTCTAGAAGGCTCTCCCTTTGGGGGCCTGTAGCATCATCCCATGTGAGTGCCCTGCAGTCAGTGTTGCAGATGTTTTGCCTCTAGAAGGACAGAACTTAAGACTGTCTCACAGTAGGCACATTTATGATTTTTTTTTATTTGCTTGTTCTGTGTTTTCTCTCTTTTGTCTGATACCTAGGTTTCACTTTTATAATAAAATCACAAAAACCTCTTTGAGAAAAAACTAAGTGCAGGAGTAGAAATGGCCAGTGTGTTCCCCATAAACCACTTGGCACTAAATAATATGAAAAGCGTATTTTTTTATGAGTACAACCCACGTCTGTTGAAGTAAGGTTTCAGAGTTACAAATAATACCTTAGATTTTTATGTAACTTTACACAAAGCTGTGTATTTTTTCCAATTGTCTTTTTTTTTTTTTTTTTAATGTTTACTTATTTTTGAGAGAGAGGGAGACAGCACGAGCTGGGAAGGGGTAGAGAGAGAGGGAGACACACAATGCAAAAAGCAGGGTCCGGGCTCTGAGCTGTCAGCACATAGCCCGATGCAGGGCTCGAATCCACGAGCCATGACATGACTTGAGCCGAAGTGAGACGCGTAACTGGCTGAGCCACCCAGGCACCCCTCCGATTGTCTTTTAATAGTTAACATGGTTCAGGTTGCAGTAAGTTCCAGCTGATTAAAAAAAGTGCCACCAGTTCCTTACCCGAGGGCAAAGGGTAAACTTTCATATATACGTTAGCCCATTAGGTTCTGGTCCTTTTTAACATGTTCTTCTGACCCATTTAATCACGTCCTGGTATTCCTGCTACCACCCTTTGAAAAACCAGAAGCAAGTGACTCAATGTTATTTCTTAACTTTGTTTGAAATGGTACTTCAGATTTAATTGTCTTGCCTAGATGTATTATTTAATGAGAAAGCATGGTGCATATTCACTAATTTTAAAACTCACTGATACTTTCATAAGATGAGAAGATTCTGCCTTTCATATAAAAAATGAGTTCGTAAAAAAAAAAAAAAAAATGAGTTTGTGTCAAAAAGTTTAATGAGGAAATCAACTCCGTAATTGAACTGTTTAATGACTGGTGCATATTTGGATGAATTAAACCCTGCTCATAAATGTATAAAGATACGTGATAAAAGTCATGTTTTTCTGTCACAGATAAAACAGACCCAGGATGAAGAAAAGAAACAGCTAACTGCACTCCGAGACTTAATAAAATCCTCTCTTCAACTTGATCAGAAAGAAGTAGGTGGTCTAGATGTTTCCAGCAGGGTTTCCAGTGTAAGTGAGGTAGCCCGGGATGGCCTTTTCGTGTTTCCTGACCTGCAAAACAGGCATGTCGGCAGCCTCCTGCCACCGTGGTTGTGGGGACACATGAGATAGAAGATGCAAGTGTAGCCCTACCGCATCGCCCATGTAACAGCTGTGCTTTATCTCCTTGCCCTCCTCAGACAAAAGATGTTCTTAACGCCCAGGCTGCAGTTCCGTGGCCCCTGGGTTTGCCATTCTGGCTTTGCAGACGTGTAATTCAGAAGTGGTGCATCGTCTCCGGGTGAAGTGCACACCCACATCCTCTGTAGATCGCCTCTGTCTTTCCTGGGCAGCCAGAGGGAGGCGGACGCAGAATCCCGTAGTAGAGAGCAAGCAGTGTTAATGCCACAAGAGACCTTCCAGGGAGTGGCTGTCAGCAGAGAGGGGACTCCGAGTTGAAAACTGCCTGGCGTAGTCAGCAGGCTACAGACAGTTTGGGGCAAGGAGGGTGGAAAATTGAGAGAGGGGGTTTCCGAGGTGGAAACTCAGGCCTAATTATGGACGACCTTGGACGCACGCAACAGGGTGTGGACTTCATGCTAAGGGTAAGCTAAATAGTGAGCACCATTTGTTACCTAGGGGAGGGTTAAAATATGCCTGTTTATGTTATGAAATTACCATGCATTGAATTTAAGTGCAGTTTCTCAATGCAATATTTAATAATAATCATGTAATATATAGCATTTTTTATATTGTCATTTCCTCGTGATATCACCTCACAACAGCAAACTGTACATTCCTAAAATTTCTGAAGGGGTTCATGAGTCCAAAACAAAAGCAAGGCAGCCCCCCCTCAAACGTGAAAGCAACACTAACCCGTGAAAGCAACCCCAAAGGAAGATTCTCTTTACTGAGGGAATGTAGTCCTCTGGGGTTTCATCAGGTGAGAGAAGTCCACAGCCCGTGACCCTGGGCACCTGCCACCCTGTGGAAATGGGCATCAGTGGCCAGAAAGGCGTGTGTGTGTTCCATGTACCTGTGTTGTCCTCAGCTAGCACCTGTACCTGTGTTTCCTGGCCTCTTTTGAAGGTGCTCATTACTGGCATACAAATCCTAGGAGACATGTCTCCTTGAATGATTTCTCCATGTTAAAGCAATAGAAAGACGTAAATGGAGGAGGGATAGGAGGTAGATTGCTATTTAGGGAGAAAACTGCAAGTTTTTGTACTTTCCGAAATGCACTTAACCTCTTCCTAACTTTGCTTTGTTGTATAGGATTACTTCCTTCCTGTATGTGGGAGCTTTCGGGGGTGGGAGACAAAGAACTATCTCAGTCCCTTTTTGTCTCGCATAGAGATTGATGTATTCTGCTCACGGCAGCTAAAGAACAAAGTTCATATAAGCCAAAGGAGTGTGTACGTGACGAAATGCACGTGACTTGATTTAACGCCACTCCAAATGAATAAATGATGAGTGTTCATTAGCCCCATATCCAGAGTATTTTACAAGTCAGATTGATCTTTCACAGCATGCCTATCCTATTCTCGTGCTGTTATTGTCTCTCATTGCAAAAATAACTTTAGAAGGTAATGATTTTTAATGACTCAAATAAGAAAGGAGGACCATCTACCATTGAGTTCTTTCCATAGCACTACTATTTGAGAAGAGTGTAAACTGATCTGATAAAGGATCTGAGAAATTAAAAGCACCCAGCAAATTATTTAACCTCTTTGCCCCCACCAGGTTCTAACTTGACTCTTTTAAAGGAAGCTCCAAGAATCTGAGCTGTAAATAGGATCCCCAGATTTTTGGTGGACTTGTTTTTTCTTGTCAAAAGGGAAATTCTTCATTGACTTCTGGCAGATGTTCTATGAAATTAGTTATCTTAAGTTTTGATAGTAGCCTAACTTCCCAAGAGAACTGCTTGCTCCACAACTATCTTTAGGGTTGAAAATATCTTATTTTTAATAATGATACCCATAAATCTTTCTCCAAATTCCAGCGTTTTGAGTCTCTCTCGCTAGCCCATGATAGTGTGGTTTGCAAGGTGTTTGACAGATTCTGTGTTTGGCTCATCTCTCCCTCCACACTGTCTGGCACCCAAAAGCTACTCAGTAAGTATTTACTAAGGTGAAACAGAAGGGAACCTTGGCCCACTCCATGTATCCCTTCCATGAGAGATATGAAGCCTCGTAGTAGAGGTTAGTTTTACGTCGGATACCACAAACATCTATAACCCCATGAAATCAATGAGTAACTGCTTCCAGTTTTAAAAGATTAGAGATTTTACTCCTCAGTAATGCATTTTATATGCTAATACAGTTTTCTAATAAGAAAGTAAGGTGATTTGTCTGTACTGCTAATAGAGAGTAGGTAATTGAACTAAAAAAAAAAAAAAAAATCACCATAGTTTCCATTTCTTGGCTCCCATTGTGGAATTTCCCCAAGGTTTTAAGTTCATCGTGTAAAGTTTAGTTTTGTATTTTTTGTCCGAATGGTTTTCTCACTCGTATTTCTCTTTCCTGAATACACGTTGATTTTTATTATGCTGTCAAAGGATTCAGGACCTGATTCATTCCTTCCGTCGCGTCTTGCTTCGTTAATTATTATGGGTGTTAATGCTCCACGATTTATTTTCGTAAAAGAGAAAAACCTCTTTTAATTTATCTAGACACCCTGCAAAAGCAAGCTAAATGGCCATCATTTGTCAGAGTGCAGAAATAATCATTTGTGGAACTACCTTAAGCCTTAGAACTCATTAGTAGTTAATGTAGGGTTGTCCATGCTAGACTTCTGAAATGAATGGCTTCCTTCCTGCTCAGCTTAATGGAATAGGCTTCCGAGGTCAGAGCCTGGAGATCAGCCACTTTATTCACCTATAAAAGCATATTTGCCCGATGTAGAGCAAAGCCCATTCAGCTCATTATTCAGACTGTAAAGTTTATTTAGGCTAGTCATAAATGTATGTAAGGAATGTCTTAGAGGCAAATTTAGAATGTAATAATTTTCATAAGTTATTAGCATACAGATCCTTGCTTAAAAAAAGAGAAGTACTCTTATTTTTAAAGCTTGTTTTATTTTAAGGATTAGCAAACTGGCTGTCAGAGATGCATAGTTTTAAAGCGTTCGGACAGACCTAGGAATTCCATGGGCAGACGCAGAGCAGTTTAGTTCAGTGGAAAGCGTTCTGAGGAAGAGAGTTATTCTTTTAATAAGAATTTTTATCCAGGGAGATTTCATGTTTTGTTTTAAATGTTCTAGGGAGGTATAGATGTGACAAAGATCCCTGACTCCAGATCCACAGTTAAGTGGTTTTCACATGATGTCATTGGGTAGAAGCAGAAAGATCCTAGGATTTCATTTATCAGCCTGCTCTTGTTTTCACCCATGCCTCCATTCTCCACCACCCCATCTAATTTCCCATCCTGATTGTTCTTTTTATTATGGACACATTGCAGCCTCCTTCAAGAAACCGTGTCACTGCTGTTGGAGGCCGTTGTGGAGGTGCTGGTGGAGGAAGGCCGCACTCGTGGCCCGTCTGATCTGTAGTACAGTCCCGTAGTCACATCATCCGTCCAGAAAGCCTGAAAGCACCTGTCAGAGAGGACCCGGGAGCCAAGTTACTATGAGTGCAAGGCTGTGGGCCCTGATTAAAAGTAAACATATAGAAGGATTTCAGAAGAGGGTCCTAGACCCCGGTCCACTCTCCACCCCTCCTGTAGGTGATTGAAATTGTCCCATTAAGATCTTTCAGCCAGAGGGAGTCTGGCCCCGGAAAGACCAAGCAATGACTCACATTAAGAAAATGACTCGAGTTTGTAACCTCTTCAGGGTGAGTCTGTTCGCCCAGTAAAGCATGCATTCAGCACCCAGTTACCTTCAGGAGGGAGCGGCACAGCATGTGGGTAGTGTATAAACACCCACCTCAGGGACAGGGGTCGTGCCCCACTCCCTGTCCTCAGTGCCTTCCTGTTTAGGTATTCAGGACATGCTTTTGAACACGGAGCTCATCCCGTGAGGAGTAGCCTCACAGAGGTGCGCCGCCCTAGAGATGTTCCTCAACTGTTACTGATTTGCATCCACAGAGCATGTACTGTTTGGTCCAAAGGATCCCAAATGCCAGAGAGAGGCCATCCTGATCCTCATGGTACCTTGTACACAGATAGTTCTTCAAGCGTTACTTCTGAACTGGGGATTTTTATTATGTTCTCTTTGCTTGGAAAACTAAAAGAGAATCCTCCTACAATTTTTGGTTCTTTTTAGGTTTTCTAAAGTAATTTGGGATTCACTGAGGTGTTGGTTCCCCATATGCACACTTTGAAGTTTGTCGGCCATTTTATCTTGGTGAGATGTGTGCCTCGTGTTCTTTCATGCAGGTTTTTTCTGACTCAAATAACCTGAAGTAAAACAAATATAGGGCGTTTTATTGTCCCACCACCTGAAGTTTATCATGATTTTGAAGGTGGTATGTGTTCTGGTGTTAATTGTCTTTACGATGGTGTTATCTCTACATGTGATGAAAAGTGCTTAAATCATGAGCGATGACTATCAATGAAATTAACTATGTTTTCAACTGTTCTGCCTTTTTTCTCTGTTGCCTTTGCCCTTCCTGATCGAAGTCTAGGAGAGTAAGTCAACACTTTCTGTGAGAATGTATTGTCCTACTTCTGTGTCCAAACCCCATGTGCTCATTCTGCAGCTCAAGGTTGTTGGTTTATTTCTTCCATTTTCAGAGTGGAATGGCTGTGTCTGGTCATGCAGTCTTTAGAAACGAGGGGGAAGTAACAGCAGGGTCCTGATACTAGATCAAGCTGCTTTGCCTCTGTCTTGTTCTGCTGGTCCTGGTCCCCCTCTTTCCACATCATCCACTTTCCATGGCCAGAGAATGCTCTTTTTTAGTTGAAAGCATGCTTGACAGCTTATTTTACAGAACCTTGTTAGTTACAAAACCAGAATTTATAACAGTTCCCGATACCCGGCTGAGAAGGTCCTTTTTATGGTGGGCGTTTCAGCAGAATACGTGAAAGAGGAAAGGTGTACACGAGGGAAGAACTCATTCAGGTTGCATGCACTGTGTGAGCCACCTCAGTTTTCCCTGCCTTCCTGTGCTGGCCTTTGCTGCCCTGCCCGTGTAAACTAGTCTAGTCACAGGACGGTCTGCCCCTCAGTGTGTTGGAAACGGAGCAGGGTCCTGAACTAGAAATAGGAGTCCTGGACCCAGCCTCCGGCTCTGCCTTAGACTTGCCTGTGACTCTGCTGACTGTTTCCCTGCCCGGTTTCCTCTGAAATAAAGGCAAGGACCTGACAGCTCTTAAAGTTCTGGAATTCTGGAATTCTCTTCGCCCCTGACCAGGGCACAGAGGCCCCGTGGCAGAATAGAGTCAAGGATCTGAGAAGTGTGCCCGGCACTGGTCTGATCTGTGGCTTCTCCTTTCTAGGATTCCCAGAGCCGGCAAGGAGGGTACAGCATGCATCAGCTCCAGGGCAACAAGGAATATGGCAGCGAGAAGAAGGGCTACCTGCTGAAGAAAAGCGACGGGTATGTGGAAGCCCTCCTAGAGGCCCAAGCACCCTTCCTGGGTGCTAGTAACCCAGGAACTCTTTCCCACCCCCCAACTGGGAAAGCACACTTCAGACTCTCCTAATGCACTCGCTCTAGACCTTTAGCCCACCCATCTTCCTCAGGTGATAGAGCCTACTGTCTTTAGAAGAAGCATTCATTGTCCCGTGGTCCCTAAATGTCACCTGTGACTCGTGACATTGCCATTTTAGGAAGGCAGGTACCGAGTGGCTTGCGGACTTCATGCTCGCCCACCTCTCTGCTTTTATCCATCGCCCTTTTCTCTCCTGGAGTGCCCACCTGGCCGCCCAAACCCCAACCCTGAGAGTCACCCCTGACCCCTCTCCTTCTCTTACAGCCAGTATAACTATAACTACGAGCTCTTCTGTTCGTATCAAGACCTCATGCGTTTTTTGCCATCTCTGCTGCCCTGCCCTTGGAGGAGCCACTGCTGTCTCCTGAGCTATTTTAGTCCCTGGCTAACCGGCCTGTGGCCCCTCCCTCTTCTCCACTGCGTCTCTGCACAGCACTTAGCGTAGCCTTTAAAAAACAAAGCACATCAAGTCACTTCCATGCTTGAAATGAATGGAGGGTCTCACCTCTGCCTTTGTCTCCAGCCCAGTCTGGTGCCATTCTCTCCCCACGCCCGGCCACGCTGGCCTCCTTTCCATCGCTTGAGTGGCGATTCTTCTTCACTATAAGTACATAAGTAGAACCGTAATTATTCACTTATACTAACTGCTTTTCTTTTTGAAAGAAAGGTTCTTCTTTTCTGATTGCTTGTGGATATGCACTCCTTGATTTTTATCTAAGACAATCACATTTTTTTATTTGTTTGTTGAAATTTCAACCATTCCTTCTGTAAATTATAATCCTAAGTTTCTGATCACTGTCACTTTTGCTTATTGTTCTACTCAGGCATCCAACGAATGTCTTTTGGGAGTTCTAGTATATATATGTCAAGCACTGTTAGAGACGTTTGGGAATATAACATTGAACAAGAAAAGTAAGAAAGGGGGCACCTGGGCGGTAAGGCATCTGACTTTGGCTCAGGTCATGATCTCACAGTTCGAGTTTGAGCCCCGCATTGGGCTCTCTGCTGTCAACACAGAGCCCATTTCTCTCTCTGCCCCTACCCTGCTCACACACACACACACACACACACACACACACACACACACACACACTCTCTCTCTCTCTCTCTCTCTCTCTCTCTCTCTCTTTCTCTTTCTCTTTCAAAAATAGACATTAAAAAAGGTAACAAAGTCTTTAGCCTCCTAGAGCTTACATTCTAAGTTGGGAGACAGAAGATAAAGAAGGAAGCATATGGAAGGTCAGATGGTAACAAGTGCTATGGAGAAAGATAAAGCAAGGCAGGGCCTGGACGTGTGTAGGGGTGGCCTTGCAGTCATACAGGGTGGTCAGGGAAGACTTCGTGAAGAGATATTTGAGCAAAGACTTGAAGGAAGTGAGGGGATCATCTCTGCAGAGATCTGGGGGAAGGAAACATGCTTCCTATTGTGATACACACAGGAGTTTGGCATAGCAAGGACAGAGGAGCTGGGGGTCACAGCAGACAAGGTTAGAGGGGGCAGGACACCAAGCCAGGAGAGCTGTGGAAGCCACTGAGTGAAAATGGGAGTCATTTGGAGGGTTTTAAGCAGAGGAATGCCAAACTCTGACTCGTTTGAAAGGCTCTTTGGCTGCCGGGCTGAGCACGGCTGTGTAGGATGTAAGAGCGGAAGCAGGAGGCCAGGTCAGAGATGATGGGAATCAAGGGAACAGCCGCAGAGGGGGAAGAAGGGGTCAAAGTCTGGATGGTGAGGGTAGGGCCACCAGGATTTGCGGATACGGCTGTAAAGAAAGAAAAACATCCCAGCACGTAGCGCAACACCTGGCCCTTTGTAGAAAGTCAGTGAATGTTGACTATTAAATCTTGCAAAATTGAAAAGAAGAAAAGACACACTAGTTACTCAAATCACAGTTTTAAGCTGGGCTCTTCTTAACAGACACAGTGATCACATTGTAGCCCCAACGCCATGGTATCTAGTGGACATAAATTAATCCTGTAGTTTTAACACTACTTGCCTGAAGGCACGAGGGTTTTCTTGACATTAGAATTGCCTGTTTCTAAGTGAGATGGTTAATTTCTACCTGTTGAGAAAGGTCAACAGAGTCTTTGCATAGGTATCATTTGGTTCAAACCCCGAAATGTTCAGGGGAAGCATCCCAACGTGAGTGTGTGCTGTGTGCCTGTCGGACATGACCAGGTGCCTGTCATTCACCTCATTTGACACCTTCTATAAGTAAGGCAGCTCCTTCAGAGAGGTGAAGTAATTTGACTGAGATCCTACAGCCAGTAAGTACAGGAGCCCAACTTCTAACGTGGGTTGTCTGAGTTAATGCTGGGGTATATACCCCTTCATCTTTCAGAGGGGGCATCCCCGCTGTTGATCGCCCTTGGGATACACAGGGTATCAGCTGTCATCCACTCACACACCTGGCTCCTCCATTCTTCTGGTCTGTTCTTCCTTCATGCACTCATTTCACACATATCTATTAAGCACTCTGCTGCCTCGGGCAGTCGGCTAGGTGCCAGAAGGTAAACAGTACACAAGAGGTGGGCCAGCTTCCCATAATTGCACAGGCTGCAGGGGTAAATAATGGTAACCCAGAGTGGCCTGTCTGTGGAAGAGGAAAGAACTGTAGTGCTTGTACATGAAGGCAGACTCACTTGCTAACAGTGACTACTGATGGGTCATGTGATTTTCTCCAAAGGATCATTTGCTTTAGTAATTTCTGACTCCAGTTCTGGAACACTCCTTTTTACTTACAAGATTGTTATGCAATTTAAAAAACACTTTAATTTTTTTTTAAAGTAATTTTAAAATTTTATGATCCAAAGGCATTTGTTGAGAGGCAAAGGAATAGCTGTTCTACGTATATTTTGTCAAAATAGCCCTAGGGCATTATCATATTCATGACACAGATTAAGGTAAGTCCCCGAGAGGACAGTAATGTGAGCGGAGTCCCGTGGCTGGTGGATGATGGTGCTGACATTGAAGCCCAAGTAACTGAGCCTCAGAATTGAAGCTTGTTCAGTGATACTAGACCACCTTCTAATAGAAAATTCCTTTTCTGGAATTCTGAGCTTTGGGCATGGTGTAACTGGTATTCTGTATGGTGCTGTCTGGAGAGATGGTAAAAGTCCATGGTATGCCCATTCAGGAGCTTCGCAGACAAGCATCCTTAAAGCTTTCCATACAGGAAGGGGAAAGCATGGGCATAGAGGCCATTCCATAGAAATCTCAGGAATAAAAGCTCTCACAGTGTTCACAGAGATGGACGAGGGATTGACTTGATTTTGCCCCCCTTTGGTGACCTAGAGCACCGCCTGGTCAATTTCTTTTAGCCAGAAAGATGAATGCTTTTGTGTCACTTTCCCTGGCTTTATTACTAATACAAAAAAATTCAATTTTGTGTTTGGTTTTGTATTTCCTTAATATACATTAAGAAAAACTAATAAAGATTTTACTAAATAAAATGAGTAAACCGAGGCAGGACAGTTTCTTCACAGTTGACTATTTGTTAGGTTGGTTGGTTGATATTTTAAAACGTTTTGGTAAAGAAGGATGATGCCTGTTTGGGCTTAGTGAGTCCAGGGAATACGTCGCCTGACTCAGCAGGCTTTTACGAGGGTCAGGTTGGGATGCCAGACTAGTGACAGCATTGACTACCTTAACCGAATGCAGGTATGACCGTGTGACAGATGTCACCTCTCGTTGGCCCTTCCCCTAGTCGGTGACGTAGCCATAATCTGAGGGCAGTTTCTCAATCAGGAGTTCTGCATTCACCCCCTGAAGATACTGGCACTCTGAGCACAGTGTGTTCAATTTACTTGTGGTCAGATGGTGTCAGATGATTTCCCTCTGTGAAGCATGCTTCAGACTAAACCATGCCTTTCTAGTAGTTACACACACAACAAGACAACATTATCTGTCTTCGGAGTTGGTTTTAAATTCATATTGTGGCAGGTTTCTTAAGAGGCCTCATGTAAGAAGGAAAAGGAAACACATGATGATATTATTTTAAATGCCAGGAGAAGCTACAGTTCCCTCCTCTGATGTTGTCTGTTTCCATGACAACCGAAGGCCAGCAAAGCCTCGTCTTCCCCGGAGAATCCCGGTTCCCTGTAGGTTTCCGTTTCCTCATGGGACTGCTTTTCACTAGTGCGTCCGTACCTGCCCGCACATGTGCACATCGCCACCCAGAGCCTCACTGATACCTGGAGCATCACCGAAAACAAAAACTTCCAACATGGAATGAGTTCTGTTTGGCTTTTTCTGAGGAGAGGTGTCCGCCTTCCCAAAGGAGAGGCGTACAAGTTACCAAAAATGTTCATCCATGACCCCGAGTTCCATTCTCTAGATCCTGAGGTGGCCCCGCCCCCGCTCCGGCTTGCCTGGCAGATGTCTTCAGTTACTTCTCTGAGTTTCTTTAGATTTCATTTTAATTACAGAAGCAATAGATTAAAACAGCCTTCTTGTGGAAGATTCACAGATACAGTTAAAAACTCTTTAGCACAACCCCTAGTACAGTTCTGGGCCTCCTTCCCAGACAGGAATACTTGTGTCAGTATCATATGCCTCTTTCCAGGCCCTCTTCTGTATGTTTGTACATGTATTTATGTACCCTGAGAAAACTTAGGGTCCCATTTTATATGTGATATTTTTAAAAAATGTTAACATTACTAGATGATACCTGAATTACTTTAAAACAGCTGGGTTTTTTCAATCAGTAGTATGCTTTAGAAATGTATGTCAGCACAGACATAGTTACTTGATCCTCTTAAACTCCTGCATAATACTCTATAATATGAAAGTACCTATAATGCATTTATTCATTCTTCTGTTAGATTTCTGTTACTTCCCACTTTGCCATCAAAAACAGTCCTGTAGGGGGGCACCTGGGTGGCGCAGTCGGTTAAGCGTCCGACTTCAGCCAGGTCACGATCTTGCGGTCCGTGAGTTCGAGCCCCGCGTCGGGCTCTGGGCTGATGGCTCAGAGCCTGGAGCCTGTTTCTGATTCTGTGTCTCCCTCTCTCTCTGCCCCTCCCCCGTTCATGCTCTGTCTCTCTCTGTCCCAAAAATAAATAAACTTTGGAAAAAAAAAAAAAAAAAAAACAGTCCTGTAGGGACACCTGGGTGGCTCAGCCGGTTGAATGTCTGACTTCAACTCAGGTCATGATCTCATGGTTCATGACTTCAAGCCCCAGCTGTGCTGACAGCTCAGAGCCTGGAGCCTGCTTCAGGTTCTCTGCCCCTCCATGCTCATGCTCGCTCGCTCTTTCTCTCTCTCTCTCTCTCTCTCTCTCTCTCTCTCTCTCTCAAAAACAAATAAACATTGGAAGAAAATTTTTAAAAAAACAGTGCTATAATGAGCGTCCTTATATATGCCTCCTAGTCTGAATTACCTTCCACCTGGGATAATAAAAGGGATAATAATGTTTTCTGGGTTTCGTGGGTTTTGGTTTGGGGTGGTTTTGTTGTTACGATTTTTAACGATCGTCATACATAACACGACATAATTGCATGTCACAGAGTGAACCAGCTACCATATCAGGTTGTGTCTGACTTGCTCTTCAGGCTCCGGAAAGTGTGGCAGAGGAGGAAGTGTGCAGTCAAGAACGGGATCCTGACCATCTCACACGCCACGGTAAGTGCACCTGGTGATTTACCGTGTTGCACCTGCGAGGCCTCTCGGCCATGTGGACTAGGAAGCAAAAACATGATGGACCCAGCATTGAAATCCACCCACCCCCACCCGCTATGCGTAATGTGTGGATTAGGATCAGACAGTGTGGGATGCTCCTTTCCCGCAGGAATTGGTCTTGTCTTGTCCTGTGGTGACCTGCCTCGTTCTCCTGCCCCTCTAGAACATCCCATGCCGTTTCCCACAATATTCTTTCATTTCATAATCTTATCTTTGGGGAAATCTTATTGGTGGTTCTAAAAAACCTAAAGTTTTCTGAATTATAAAGATGATAGAGGGTGTTCTTTGCATGAAATAATAGTTAGGAAATGAAATAACATGCATACAATATGTTCAGTCTTTTTGTTGTTACTATTTAAATCACTCAGAAAGCCCCCATTATGGTAAAGGGCTAAAATGTATATAAATAAAAGTGAAATCATAAGATTGCCTTGCTGTGGCTCCCCTTTCTTTAGGAATAAAGGCAATTCAGTGGAAAGTAGAAAGTAACTAAGCTATTAACGCTTCTATTCTGTTTTCTCTCCAGATTGTTGGCAGTTATATATGCATATATATTGCATACTTACAGTTGATACTTACATTCTAGCTAGAACTTTTGTTTGGTATCACCCATTTTCAACTGAAAGTCTTATATTGGCAGAATTAATACTGTCAAAAAAGGTTCAGTCTTAGCGCTAGTCAGGACATGCACCATAAAATAAGTAATTACTGTTTGGCCCTTTTAAAACTAGCAAGAAATGGCTTCTTACCCTTAAAGATGCAAAGGTTATAGTGGCAAATGTGTCAAGTGGAACTGGAAACCGCACAGTAGACCAAGAGTCTTTACGAAGGCACGTGCAGTCACACCTAGCAACCCCAGCTTGGAGAGAAGCTCAGGTAAATTTCAGTATCCTGTGCCAATGAGGCCTTCGAGTTTATGATAAGCCGTGAATTGGTAACAGGATGGTAAAAATGAGGGATGAGCCATTTGTTACGTTGGCAAGTTTCCGTTATTCACAGTTGAGATTAGATTGTCCTCTGATGAGCAAGAAGTACCACTTAATAAGCATTTCTTCCTGCCAGACACTTCATAAAATTTATTTCACTCAATCCCTTCTACAACCCATGTGGTAACATGCCCTTCGTTTTTGCAGATGAAGAAACTAAAGTACAGAGAAGCCCAGTGACTTGGCTAGTAGCGGGCAGTTAGAAATGATGCCCCTTCCACTCTGCCTCTCTTCCTGCAGAAGCCCATCATCCTACTAGACTCTTCACTTCCCCAGGGCACTTACCAGGTCCTAGTCGTCTTTCTTCAGCCCCACCCCCTCATCAGACCTTGGTACACACAAGGTAGTCACTACAAACCTGTGGCCAAACCCTTCTTGCTGGAAGATTCCATACGTCTTAACGATTATTGCCCTTTATGGAACTTGAGCAAGTCTATCATCTCTGTCCTTTGTCCCTTGCAGAACCCTTGCAGGGTGATTCTTCAGAGGCCCTCAGCTTCCCTCAGTCCAACTGAGATTTTTGACCTATCATGCCAGCTGTGACAAGCCATCCATCTGATACGGGAAATCCTACAGGTGGACTTAGATCAGTTATCGCTAAAGCTGTCTAACAATTTGTTTCTTTGGCAACGTTTCATGAAGCTTCTACTCTACTCCAGGTGCTGGAGTAGGCCTCAGACGAGATAACTTTGACCTGTTCAGATTTAATCCCATGCAGTTGCTTTATGAAACAGTTCTGATGGTCACGAGAATGTTAGTTACCGCTAAGTAAGTAAGCACTTACCATGAGCCAAGTTGTAGAAAGTGCTTCCCCTGTGTCACCATATGTGATTGTTGCCACAACCCACCAGATAGATGCTGTCATTAAGGGGTTAAGAAATGAGCCTGTGTCACACCTGGTGAATGCTGGGATTTCAGTCTTGAAGCCTCTGTGAGTGCTTAATGGTGTTTGCTGGCCACACAGGGGCCCACTCTGCTCATTATGTTGGTGATTAAAATACTTGGGGGGCTATGTGTCAGAAGAATGATCCAAGATCAGAAACATGGATGGGAATAGATGACATTTATTGAGTATTCTCTGTGGCTTGTGCCTTCATTGTTCTGAGCACATTACCAGAACCTATTTTATGTAGCTTCTGTTGCTCCTGTTTGATAGACAACGAAACAGTCTCCGTTCTAGGCCTATGTTTCTCTCTGTGAAAGCGAAGATTGCCACCATCTGACTTTTCAAAAGCATTTCTGTCACCACCACCATCACCATCATGGCGGCTAACATTTTCGAATGTTCACCATTTGCTAGGCATTCACCAGCACCTTAACGCGTTGTAACATTTAACCCTCACAACCTAAGTTATGGATGATGTCACCTTCACTATTCAGATGGGGGAGCTGGGGCTCAGAAAAGTTCACTTACAGGTCACATAGCTCACACATGGCACAGCTGGGATCTGGTATAGGTTGGAACTCTGCTCGTACACATTCCCACACCCCTCAAAATGTGAATTCCCCTCACCTGCAACCCCACTTCCTCCCCAGCATGGGATCCCAGGTTGGGCCATCACAGACATAGTCAGCCCTGAACCAGGAGTGCCTGGGAGTCTGTGTGTGGGAGAAGCACATTGCCTGTTCGTGCAGGCTGGAATTCTTCGATGGCCCGAAGCATGGCACGAATCCTGAGAAGCGATTCATTCGTAAGGACAGTCAACACAGTCGGCCCTTCACTTTTGTGACAAGGTTTGGCGTCTCCTGGGCCAGTACCCTGACTCTTGGGGAGCCACAGGGTTGACCTGTCTCTGGGCGAGTTCCAAAGGTATCCAGGGTGGTCTTTTCAGATCTTACCACCTGCAGCAGCTGTAACAGCAGCTAGAACCTTATGGCCGGGGAGGTGTTTGAGTGCAGCTCTGTGCCGTAGGGTTGGAGGCTGAGGGCGGCAGTTGCCCGGATGGGATTGTGCCTGCTCTTCCCTCTGCTTTCCCGAGCCGGGTTGTGGCTGATTATTGTCTGATTTTATGAGCTGAGGTGGGTCCGAGTGGTGAGACTCTGAGATGGATCTGGTTTGTGAGCAGAAACAAAAACCAGAAGAATATTCTTCAGGTGAACTGCACTACAGTGGAAGTTTCTGACCACTTGACCTTATGTGAATCAGGAGTTTTTAGTTAGGGATGCGCTACGTGTACCCTCTCTTTACCCTCCTCCTCCCTTGGGTTCATCTGGCTATCTGACAGCCTCAGAAAGCCTTTTGACAAGTGATGTTATGACCTTATCGTGCCCCACCTACTGGGCTTTCTTAAGAGCCTGCTGTGGGAGGCAGCGCAGTGTGAGGAAACCGAGCAGTTGATGGAGTGAGTCCGTGGCACTGCTCACTGGTGGTCCTGTGACCTCGGACAGTTTGCTAAAAATAAAAATCACTTCTCTTCCACCCTCCCTTTTTTGTTCCTGCCAAACACATAGCTGTGGCCAAGCCAACTGTGTCAGTGCTTTCTTAAGGCTCTAATCAACAGCAAATATCACATCAGCTACATTGTGTAGTGGCCGTGAGAAAGCACTGTGGCATCTGTCAGATCTGAGTCCTTTACTGTGTGACCTTGAGGAAAGTATTCAACTCCTAAAATGATAGTGAAGATTAAATGTGATAATGTGCTCCGTGGGGGCATTCAGTTAGCAGGAATCGTTCCTGTCAGCATCACCTCGCCGGGTGTCCTGGCAATTCTGTCTGTCGGCAGGCAGGCTCTCCTGCTGCGAGCATTGGAAATTGTGGGTCCACCTCTCCTGCGCCCAGAGCAGCCGGGGGGCGGCGGCGGGGGAGTGGGTTCCTCCAACCTCACTTCAGATTCCCTCCCACCGATTGGTGTTACTCTCTTGCCTGCTTTTCACTGGCTTTGGGCCACACGTTTTTGCTGCCAGTTACATCACTTGTAGTCCCATCCCTGCTCCTACAGAAAGGCCACTTCTCCTGACTTTGCAAACACTGCTGATGACTTAGAATCCAGTTGAAAACGAAGGCCAGCAGTTTCCTTGGGGAAACATGTGGGATTGAGTCATCTTTGGAAAAGTGGACAGAACAACCTTTGTTAGAAAACGTGGAGGCTTTGTTTGGGACCTCTGAGCACGTGGGAATTTCACTGCTTGAAGGCCCCCAGTCGGTGTCACTTACCCACGTGACCCAGCAGAGGGTCGCGTATGCACTAAGATTGATGAGCCATGGACTGTTGGATTGACCATTCGAGAATGATCTGTTCTGGGGGCCAGTCATCTCCCTAGCTTACTATTGAGGAAGAAATGCATTTTGGGGGGTGCCTGCAAAGGGGGCAGCCAGCCCTACAGGAGCTCATCTGCAAATTCATTGCTTTTCTTGTATCTGTTCAAAGACATACTTTTTTTTTATTTACTACTCAAAGTAGTACATCACTATGGGAATCCGATTCACTGAGAATCTTTGAATTCGTTATTACAGTAATATGGATAGTGGCTTCCATTTATGGGCCATCTAGTATGTTTTGAGCAAAGTATAAAATGCTTGTGGTATTTAAAATACCAATTCTAAGAAATCTATCGCAAACATTTCAGTCAGCCTCAAAGCTTAAGGATAAAGGACTTTATATCCAGCCACAAAACTATTATACATAAACTTCTATATCTTTGAGTTGTTTTCTTATCCTTTTTACTTTAAGCATTTTAGTATATAATTTAAAAAGCTATCAAAGAATATGTAAGAATTATAGTTGGAGTATTACTTTATTGTAATAATCCTAAAAAATTAATTGCAAAAGTATAAGAAGTTTGACTTCTCAAAAGTCCTTACGTGGTGGATTTATTAACCTCAGTGTCACATACAGCTCAGATCCTGGGTTGAAACAAGAAAGGTGATTGCCGTTCGTTGATCACTTAAAGCATGCCAGGCTAGCTATACGACATACATGCCACCATCTTCACTTTTCTTTGGTCTGGAAAGTTCTT